GTCTAAACTGATATTTTAAAAATAAGACACTTTAATTAAAATTTATATAAATGAAAGAAATGCAAGACTATTTAATATACCTACATTATGAAACCTTTAATTTTTTCACATCAGTTTTTTAATGAGCCAGATATTTATTTTATATCTAAGCTATCATCATTCACAAACTTAATGATACAGCTATTACAAGTTATTTTTCTAAATGCACAAAAGGAGTAAAAGTGTCAGCACAAGGAAACCATATATTTGTAAGAATTAACTACTTCAAAGCTCTTATTTGTAAAAATATGTCAATGAAATGATGTTTTATGCGAGTGATCCAGCAATAGTTAATTAAACAACCATTACCCATGGAAAAAATTGAACACGTTTTCTTTCCACAGAAATATGCATAGCTGACTTTAATCAAGATGCAACACAAGGCATGAATATTCAGTGGCTAGACAATAACCTGATTAAAGTTCTTTTTTTCCCCTCTAGTAGACATCGATCTTGTTTTTGCATTCGAAACAAAACAAGGAAAAAACCTGATGTGGTTTCCTAAAGAAGTGAGTTCATTTAATAACATTATTTTTCCACCTTCTGTTATACTTGGAAACACACCATATCTGTTCATTTATTATTAGAATTAATCATGCATATGTATTTTATATTCAGACATCCACTATAAATAGTAATTGCATAGAACGTAACCTTTCTCTGGAATGGTACAGCGAAGTAAATAGTTATCACAATAATCTGGATGCTTCTCCATTTAGATGCAATGTCCAATCTGACCGATGGAAAGGACTTAGAGCAAATGGCTCTTTATTCTTATAATAACTGATTAATGCTTTGACAACATCACACCTTTTTCACAGGTTGTGGGAAAAGTTCACTTGAAATCAACTGGCATCATGGTGAATAAACTACATGACTGTGTAGTTAAGAAGGAATTCAGCCTCACATTAAATGTAATTGGGGTAAAACCGTTAGGCATGTGTGGGCAAAGGTAGAGACAGAAATTTTGCACAGGAAATGAATGTGTGAAAGCTAGTGATACTGAGATCAAATTTTAGGTTTTTGTTTATAAAGAGAATTAGAAAGTCCCCCCCCCACCTCCTTTTTAAAGAATGAATCTTGTTAGTTTTCCCACAATGACTGATATTGATTGCTTATGTTAAGACATAGCCTATACTATAGGGAAGGTTAGTTCATCAGCTTCCATTTAAACCAGTGGTTCTCAACTTGGGGGTCACGACCCCTTTGGGGGTCAAATGACCCTTTCACAGGGTCACCGAAGACATAACAGTAGCAAAATTGCAGTTATGAAGTAGCAACAGAAATAATTTTATGGTTGGGGGTCACCACAACATGAGGACCTGCATTAAAGGGTCGCGGCATTAGGAAGGTTGAGAACCACTGCTTTTAAACAAAAGGCAGAACAATGTAATCTAAGCTTCCAGTCCAGGCTGATGGAATTCAACTTTTCTTGAAATGCCAGGAAAGAAATCTAGACTGCTCTCCAAAGTTATGGTCCAGAATGCTACTGTTGTTCAAAAACCAAGGTGATACTAAGCTTATTAGAAGGGATATGGGAAAGAAAACAGAATTTTATTATATCTGCTTATACTCTCATCAGAAATACTAATCATACACATAGTTGCTACACCACACACAATTAGAATACTAGAGAAAGATAAACCCATAAAGGCGATTAGAATGAATTCTATATATAGACAGACTAAAAAATAGTTTGGGAAAATAGAGTTTGACACTAACCCATGTTTTCAATGACTAAAGGTTTTAGATTTTTACAATATAATATTAATTAAAAAAAAAACCCATTGATTATATGTTGAGACCAAAATAGATCCTTTCTAGGCAAATGTTAGAAACTGTATTTGCATAAACTCAGGGGGCCAGTATTTATTATTTAGGAATCATTATCATTTAATATCCAAATAAATGCAAAAGAATTGTAGATAAAATTCATGGATCATAGCCCTGCATTGGATTGTTAGAGAAGCTAAGATTCTTTTAGAAGTACATTATTGAATCTTTTTTTTTGTGTGGTCTGATTTCATGGAGGGCAAACGTAAATTGCTTTGAAATATATTCCATAGGAACTGTCAACAAATGGAAAACTGTGCTTGGGAAAACTCTTCTTATGATTTGAGGGTCATATCTATGTCAATATCTTGCCATTTTATTGCTGTGTCACTGCATGGCTTCATGTTTAACATAAGCACTTCATTTCTTAAAGCCAGTGCAAATATTTTCAGAAAACGGCATTGCACAATCATTAAATATTTAAATACGTTACCCAGGAATGTTAATACTGTTTTTCATTTTTGCAAATTAATCCTTTTTATTTAAAAAAAACAAACAAACCCATCCACAAATCTCTCATCAATGATAAACGATGAGATAAAGTGACTTCCAGAGCGGAAGAGACAGGTGAGACCACAGGTGGAGGATATACATTTGCTATTTTACTGAAAATTCTCACCAAGGATTCCAAAAACCTGAAATTGCTTTTGTTCCTCAAACCTACAGTTGTTTTCTTTTCTTTTCTGTCCTATTAAGTCAGAAAACCTATAATCATAGCTTGAGCAGGAGCCCGAGTCGAGGAGAACATCAAGTGTTGCTGTGGAGGGTCTTTGGTTGGGACCTGTTAGAAGACATTCAACATCTATGCTTATAGCAAATATTTTGACATTTGCCTTTAAAAAGATTTTTTTATCTTTATTGTTGAAAGTATCACAGATGTCCCCCCTTTTCACCCATTGACCCCCTTCACCCGCTGCCGCCCTCCACCCAGGCTCCCACACTGCTGTGTGTGCCATGGGCTGTGCATACATGTCAGTTCCTTCGTGTATCCCTTCCTGCCCCGTCTCCTTCCCTCCGAGGTTCACCGGTCTGCCCCCTGCTTCCCTGTCTCTGGATCTGTCTTGTCTGTCAGTACAGTTTGTTCATGCCTGCGGTCTTTCTCCTCCCACCGGCCCTCTCCTGCTCCGAGACGTGCACGTTCAGGGTGAGGTTTCCTGCGCACCACTAGGGGACACCCGAGAGGCAGTCACGACCCCGAGTGTCCCTCTGTGACAGCAGAAGGATGTGGCAACCTGGCTCTAAAGAGATGATGGGGATACTCCGGGGCAGGAGCAGCCTGGGTATCTGAGGGCTGGTGGGGACCGAGGGTCCAGGCCGCACAGTTCTGAGTGGGGGCCTCCGTGCTGTCGTGGCACCAGGGAGCACTGCTTCCCACCCTGCCACTTAGCCGCTGGGTGTCCGCAGGGGACAACCGAGTCCCCATTCTTCATTTCTCAAAGGAGAAATGTGATTTTAATTTCCAAGTGCCCTTCTATCTTCCAAGTCCTTTTCATATCTGGGAATAATTTTTATTTATTTATTAAACATTTGTTTTTTCTTTATTGATTTGAGAGAGAGGGAGAGAGAGAGAGAAACATTGATGAACGAGAACATCGATTGGCCGCCTCCTGCATGCCCCCCACTGGGGATCAGGCCCACAACCTGGGCATGTGTCCTGTCCAGGAATCGAACCCGTGACCTCTTGGTGCAGGGTCGACGCTCATCCACTGAGCCACACTGGCTGGGCTGGAAATAATTTTTAAATCTCCTATATAATTAGAGACTATACTAAGGTTGAAACCGTCAGAATAAACTTCGGAAAGTATATAGCTGTTTCCCTTAAGGTGCACAGAAGACTTCACTGTCAGTTTGTATTATGCCTTCTTTAAAAAAAATTTTTTTTGCAAGTGTACAGGGAATTTCCGTTTGCACATGTTTAAATGTTTATTTTTGGTGACGAAGGGGAGACGGAGTTTTGTCAATCAAATGACTCGTGGAAACATAAAATAAGTCATGTTATTTTTTTCTTTGCTTTTTAATGTTCAAATAATCTGCAAAATAGAGATATCAACAAAGATAAATAAATCTGTGCAAATAAAATGGAAAGACAGAAGATCTGTTGAATCCTTTGTAGCTTCTCATGTTGACAGGAAATTAAGGAAATTATTCATACTTATCACAGGACATTTATATACAGAAAGAAACCATTTGGGGAACTTCTCACACGGAATGCGTTTTATAATTTCTTTGACTTTTATAAACAAGTTCCAGGGCTGAATGAATGACTACATGAGACTTAACTCCATACTTACTTGAGGGTATTATGTTGCAATAATTTTTATTTTATAGGACAATTGCTGCTACTCAGTTCATCATATAAGGACTCATCTATGCTCCTTATTTGTTCTCTTTCCTTTATATTCTTATTAATATAAAAAATCAGTTTTCCCCACCTTCAAGGCCCTTTTCCATGCCTGCCTACGTGATGCTTTTGAATTAAACCAAGTGATATCTTTTGACAAAGTTTGATCAGTGGCGTTATTATATAAAAGTATATATATATACTTTTTTTGCATACATTATTGCAATTTTTCTTTTTAATTAATCTGAGAGCCGAGGCGGTTTAGATAACCACCACATTATTATCTAGCAGATCCTGAATGAAAAGATGTAGTTGAATACGCTAAATGTGTTTGGTTCAGATTATTTTTTTTTAAGGAAGTGAGGTTTTGAATAATGCAAAAGGTATTTAAAATCATGTTTATGATGCTAAACAGTCTCCCATGCAGCAACATGAAGATATATATTTTCTTGAATTTATAATGTCATAAGAACTATCCACTCCTGTTTTTAAGAGCGTATTATATCTCTCCAAACTCCCTTTGCACCCTCCTGGTAGAAGATTTTTAAGTATCTGATAAAATGAATAAATTCTAAACAAATGACTTGGAAATTCAGGCTTCAGAGTTGAAATATTATTTTTCCATCAGAATAAAAAGAAAGTGTTTCCTAAACCCTAAAAAACTTACATGGTGTTGCACATGGAAAACATTTTTGCCTTGAAGTGTAGTGATAAAGAGCTGGTCTTTCCAATCCCTTGTTCCTCCCCCCAAATTATAACTCGATTATCAGTTTGTCCTTTACCTTCCTTACAAGAAAGGGAGCCATTTTTTATGGTTTGCAACCTGTTTGCTATCCACGAGTTTCTTATAAATCTCAGACTTGAGAAATCGAGGGAAAGAATCCTTGGCCATGAGGCTATAGATTAACTTCTGAGCCTCATCAAAACATTTGAGAGTTGGTTCTGCAATATTCTTCGAGATGAGGTCCCTGGTACTGAAGTCAATGTTAATCTGTGGAAATAAGATTCCATAGCATTAGATTAGTATAATCAAAGAATGCACGATTTATACAGATGGTGGGTTCACATAGTATTTGAATTTTTTTTCCCCAAACACAAAGATAATGCAAAACAGCAGAAAGGTCACGCATTCATGTCCAGGTGCAGAATGCATGCCTGGTGCATGTTTTTTCCTAGGTTGAGAGGGTTGGCATTGACAAGAACACGGGGAAAGCCCTATGTTGAAATGATTTAAAAAATGGCAAAGTAAAAAAGAAAACAAAATATTTTATGATTTAAATTTTTTTTCCACCCATCCTTTATTTTTTCCCCCTAGTATTTTGGTCTTAAGATCTAAAATTTACTTTCCAGAGGCAGATCAATAACTGTGCTTATAAGATGGGTTCTATCAACCTGTTCCCCACGCTCGTTCCCATGTGTTGCTTTTCATGATCATTTGTATCTTATTTATTTATTTTTTGCCAAAATAAACCAAAGAACACTCCCCTCTACACCAACCCCACGTCGTCTATAGAATATACCTCTACACAGATGTATTTATTGTGTACATGTGTGCATGTATCCATCGCCACACGTAAGTATTCCCAGCAAGGTCTCAGAGGGATTTATCAGATTGGATACAGCAGTCACTTGCCAGTAGGTAAAGTGCCCCAAACCTTCTTGTGGCGAGACCTGTGCCACTCCACACATATCCTCGGGTGTATCTTGAGAAGCAGAACGTTTCATGTCCAAGTTGTTTCACGTAAACAGAAACCATTGGTGAAGTCCAAAAAAGTTTGGAATCTTAGCGTGTAAGGATCCCCTCAGACAGGTGCAACACTTTACTCATCATTCTATCCTGGGGCAGGCAGCAGACGTATCTAATACATAACTGGCAACCATAGACATGTGCGGAATTCAATTAAAATGTCTCGTAGCAAAATGGGGGAGGTTGTCCTACTGCTAGAATTTTGGGGTGTGGTTAAAGGAAAACTCTACAAAAATAGGTTAATAATATAAATAATAATAATACAATAATGAATAAATAATTGATCATACAAGAATAAACTGTTTCATGGACTCGCAACTGTAAACCTACTTTTGCCCACTCCTGTAAATGACAACTTGTCTTTATTGACTCGATGTTGAAAGATAGGCGGACAGACCTGCAACCAAGTCAGCTACTTACTTGCTATTCACATGAGTGACACAAATTCTATACTTTCCTTTAATCTTTGACACCCATGGTGTAAATGAGAATAGTAATAGCCTCTGAGAGAGCTTTCAGGACCAAATGAGATAAGGAATAATAAAATTATTTTAATATTTTAATACACATTGCCTGTTCCCCTCCTTGAACTATGTAGTTAATTCTTTAAGGCCATCACCTGCAATTTGTTTCACTTTCTACCCCAATATGGTAACCATAGCAACTTAGCTCTTTGAGGCTCTCATTCATGGGGTGAGTGTTCACCGACAGCAGGCCAGTGTTTTCCTGGGGCACAGTGTCACCTCATCATTATTTCAATCAGAACCTAACACCTGCATGGACTCCTTAGTCCCGATTTAAGGGACTAGGGTCCAAGCCATTATTCTGGCATTCAAGGGCCTTTGCAATGTGGTCCTAATGTACACATTTCCCCCTCTTCTGCATGTTCTTGGTATTCCCACCGAGGTAGGCAATTTTCCTCAAATTCCTCGCCTTTTCCCTGCCTAGGACCATTTTCCCCACCCCATACCAGTCTAGCTGAAACTCACTCCTGTTCACTCCGCTCCCTCACAATCTTTTGTCTTTAAGGTGACGTTCAAATAACATTCACTTTGTGAAGTTCACCTGTAGATTTCCCCCCCTTTTCTGACCTCTCAAAGGACTTTGTGTTTCTTAGATGACATCTGCATTTTCCAAATCCTCGTTATACCTTGCATGACCTAAGGACTCTGTAAATATATGTTGCATAAAGCAAGTGAGAGAACGTTTCTATAGTTGCTCAAAATCATGTTGAAATTTTGAAGAGGACCATTTCATTTCCATGCAATACTGATCACTAATATCATACACTAAAATAATTAAGCTTGTACTTCTGACTTTTCCCTTTCATTTTCTGATTTGCTTGCTTTTCTGCCAAGGATCTGCCAATATCAGCTATTGAGACCTGAGTGATGAGCAGAGATGCTGTTCCTGGGAGGTTATCAGTGGTCTCATGAAGATGTGTCTCGGCAACTCAGCTTCACGTCAGTGACAAAACATCACACCCTCATGTGTGTATAAATGTCATTATTTTTCTCTAAGTTGTTCGAGCTTGGAACTTAGGAGTTATCTCTGACCGCTCTTTTCTCTCTCATCTCCAATCAGATACATATATGACCTTTATATATTACACATATATATACTTCTCATCCATCTTTTATTTTGTAATTTCACAATGGTCATTAACATTTTTTTTCTTTATTGATTTTAGAGAGAGAGGAAGGGAGAGGGAGAGAGAGAGAGAAACATCGATGAGAGAGGACATCGATGGGCCGCCTCCTGCATGCCCCCCACTGGGGATCAGGCCCACAGCCTGGACATGTGCCCTGACCAGGAATCGAACCGGCGACCTCTTGGTGCAGGGCCAATGCTCAACCACTGAGCCACACCAACCAGAGGCAATGGTCATTTTTTCATTCGCACTCCTATCTCCCTAGTTTAATGTTCATTCATTTATTTTTATCCCAAATCTTGTCCCTAAACCACAGAATTTATCTCTTACCTGATACCTCTTTTTATAATGTCTTTCCCTCCTGAACACTGTAAATAGCATTATGGTGTCAGTTTCACCCAAATATCACTTCTGTCGTGGACGTGTTCAGCCGAAAACCCCTTATCCTTTACAACAGAAACTTGCCCTGGCACCGGGGCTCCCTCACACCTGGACGCCCCCCACGTGTTATCCCCAAAGCATCTGCTCCTTGCCCTCGGGGGGCCTTAGTGCTGGTCGCTCTCCCTGAGCGGGTCTCACGCCTACAGTCCTCAGTGATGCTGTTTCGGCCCCGTAAGCCCTCTTCCCACCATTTCATTCTAGGCAGGTTTTCCTCGTCTCTCACAATTTAGCTGAAGTTGAATATTCTCCCAGAAGCTTCCCTTGATCACAGAAGGAGAGTCACTAATTTCCTTATCATTATACATCATTTTGATGTAAAAACCTTAAGAAATTTGATTCCTTGCTTAAACAGATTTGGGAATGACGGCTTCAGTTCAGGTTGAGTATTCAATCTGATTACCAGGGGGCAAAGATTTGTCAGTTCCCCACAAAGGGAATTCAATAGTTCATGGCGTGGGATGAACCCGTCATTTATTTGCTATCTTTTCCCTATTTCCTTCCAAATTCCTTGTTTCTCTACATGTTCCTCAAAATACAAGCAGCGCAGAGATTCATTCTCCAAGTTTGGTTCCAAGTCTTCTCTACCTAGGTTTTTTTCTGGTGACTCTGCCTTCTCCTATGGCAAAATGTTTGAACAATGGCATTGTATCTAATATAATCATAGGGATATTTAAAGATGATTATTTTAACTATAAAAGCTAAAAGTTAATATTTCCTGACTATTAGTACTGATGAGCTAAGTCTTTATATGGCTATTTTATATCATACACAATCGATGTGAGTTAAGATGGGCAATGACGGTGAGTTAGGCTGTGTGATGTCCCAGAAACGAAGGGAGATGCATAGATCTGCAAGGAATTTAGACAGGAGACCGGATGGGACTTGTAATTGCACAGTTACGGCCTGGGGCGAGGAGGGAACACTTCAGGAATGACTGGCTTTTAGGAATATTCTGAAGGCGAAACGACAGAAAGTCCTGACGGCTTGGGGATGGGGTCTGGACAGAAGGGATCCAGGACGACCAAGTGTTTACCCAGAGCAATGAGAAGAACAGGGTTGCCTTTGACAGAGATGGAGATGGAGAGACTGGCCCTGGCTGGTTTGGCTCAGCGGTGAGAGCGTCGGCCTGCAGACCAAAGAGTCGCGGGTTCAATTCCCATCAAGGGCACGTACCTCGGTTCATCCCCAGCCCTGGTCAGGTCGTGGGGGAGGCAGCCAGTCGATGTGGCTCTATCACATCGATGTTTCTCTCTGTCTCTCTCTCCCTCCCTCCCACTCTATCTGCTAGTAATTAGAAAAGTATCCTCAGGTGAGGAATAAAAAAGAAAAAAGAAAAGAGCTGGAGAGACTCAGGTAGAAGAAAGTTTTGGGGAGAACATCAGGACTCAGGTTAGACTTTGTTCACTTGAGATGTCCTTTGCAGCCATGGACTGGATGAGATCCCAGGACAGAAAGTGCAGGCAGAAAGGGAATGAGGACCTCCTCCCTCCTTATAGTGGGTGTGGGGCTGTGAACAGGAACAGCAAGAGACATTGTTAAAGAGGGGCCAATAGGAGAGGAGGAAATGAAATACTAGAAGCCGTGTGAAGACAGCATTTCAGCAGAGAGAGGGATCCATTTTGCTAAATGCTCCTGAGAAGTTAAAGTGACGTTTGAGGATCAGCTACCAAAACGGCTGTCTTTTTATCTTGACTTTTCTGAAATGTCAGCATCAGGAAAAAAGTGAAAAGATTTCTTAATATCTATTTTGACGCATACTTTTCTTTAACGGAATCACTTCTGGGGGTATGTCTGCAAACTTCACCCCTAACTTTGCACTGATCTCAAATTTTGTATTTGGTTGGATTCCACCAGAAGACACATGGATACATTTCTCTCTTAAAAAGTAAGACAGCCCTGGCCGGTTTGGCTCAGCGGTTAGAGCGTCCGCCTGCGGTCCGGAGAGACCCAGGTTCGGTTCCCGCTAAGGGCATGTACCTCGGTTGCAGTTTGTCCCCGGCCCTGGTTGGTCGTGCGGGTGGCAGCCACTCGATGTGTCCCTTTCACATCGATGTTTCCCTCTCTCTCTCTTCCTCTCTCTCCCTCCCACTCTACCTGAACAAGGAATGGAAAAATGTCCTCGGGTGAGGATAAAAAAAAAAAAAATTAAAAAAAAAAAAAAAAGTAAGACAGAAGCTGAGCTTGGAATACAGGGACGGTGATTCCTGGGAGGTGACCTTCAGAGACGCAGGCTTTCCACCTGTGTGATCTTGAAGACATTCTGAGCTCTTGGGCTGTACTTCGAAGCTTAGACTTTGCTGAGTCTCAAGCTAGTAGGTCCAGAGCAGGGACTGGGCCGTTCATCAGTTGACGGACTCAGCAGAGTCCCATCCGCGTTGTTTACTGATACGAATGAGTCACTTCCATTCTGTTTGCATGGATACTCGTCAGTTTCACGGACTCTGAGGAATACAATATTTTAATTCCACGTTTTTCAAAAGGTCATGAATTGTCTTAGAGATCCGGGACCACTGCCCTGCCAATCAGAAAGCAAGATGCAGGCTTGTGGTTCCTACAGAAGAGGAGCCATGGTCCTCACAAGCACTCAGAGGCTCTTAAATCCTGTCCGTTTGAAAGGGGCTCCCTGCAGCTGCCATGGACCACAGCCCCCTGCACACAGATGCCTGCCTTCTAAATGTCGTTTGGGGTCGTTGCTGAAAAGCACTGTTATTGTAAAGACCCGGGACATTTTTGATACTCATATGATTTTGTTAACTGCGAGTAATCACGCGACAGCCTTCTCTGCCTGCAGTTCTACTCTCATTTGGCTGCCAACACGTTATTTTTGCAGGAAGGAAACGTTTTCAAGAGTCCCTTTTGGTTTTCCTATGACCCTACACTGGGCCTTATATGTTTTCACATGATTTGAATGAAAAAATTTTTTTTTTTATCCTCACCCGAGGACAGTTTTCTAGTTTTTGTTCAGATAGAGTGGAAGGAGGAGAGAGAGAGAGAGAGAGAGAGAGAGAGAGAGAGAGAGAGGGAAACATCGATGTGAAAGGGACACATCGAGTGGCTGCCACCCACACGACCCAACCAGGGCCGAGGACAAACTGCAACCGAGGTACATGCCCTTAGCGGGAACTGAACCTGGGACTCTCCGGACCACAGGCCGACGCTCTCACCGCTGAGCCAAACTGGCCAGGGCGCAATGTTATTTTTTAAATTTTCAAATAAAATAATTTTCAAATTGTGAAATTAGTGGTCCAAATTGAAGGGATAATAAGTACAAGTTTAGGAATTCTTTCCTTTGTCATTCACAAGTTCTTACCATGAGCAAAGCAGAGACACTGTAAGAAATGTGTTGCTTGTCTAGTAAGTTTTAAGCCACTTAGTCAAAATCACTGGCTCACGCATATTCTTTTTCTGCAGTGTTTTCTTCTGAGACTATCTGGATACAATTCATTGAATGCATAGCTCTTCTTATCCAAAAGCAGTTTTTATATTTTAACATGTTTTTATAATATAGACACGTACATTTTTTTTTTAATCCTCACCCGAGGACATTTTTCCATTTTTTGTTCAGATAGAGTGGGGAGGGGAAGAGAGAGAGAGAAACATCGACGTGAAAGGGACACATCGAGTGGCTGCCACCCGCACGACCCAACCAGGGCCGGGGACAAACTGCAACTGAGGTACATGCCTTTAGCAGGAACCGAACCCAGGTCTCTCTGGACCTCAGGCAGACGCTCCACCGCTGAGTCAAACTGACCAGGGTGACATGTACATTTTTTTAAGCCTTTTAGAGTTGCTTGTCTTCAAATGTTTTTAGCAATTAGATGATGGTTGTTTTCAGGTTGACTCCGTGCTCAGAGTGACTGGTTTAAAGAAGAGGGGTTTTAACATTTGCTGAAAATTGCTCTGCACGTGTGAACACCTGATCTCATTCATCATGATCATCTGTCCTGTGCAGTCATTATACGCTTTTTAAAATATAAATGCATTTTTTACGTGAAGAAATTGAGCCTCAGAGAGAAGAAATCGCTTACCACAAGATTACAGAATCTGAATTCTGGGCCAGGTGTAACCAGAGTTTAGGTTTTCCTAAATCACGCTAACTCTCTGTCGGTGTAGAATCCAGAGAAAGTCACACAATGAGGGCATGACGTCCAGTTGAAATTATTTTATAATCTCTTAAGACCCAAAAGTTCAATTTTTATGTTCAGTCTTTGCCTATTTGAACAGGAAACTGAAAACCACAGTAACATCAATGTATAGACAGGGATCATTTAGTACATTTAGTCTTGCCTAATTGTCAACTGTCTAATTGAATCAATTAAAAATTATTAAGTCATGCTGGCAATTTTACAGATGATATAAAGACACAAAAAATGGAAAAGAAAGTAAATGGGACTTAATGGGCATCCTGATAATATGACCTTGTCATTGTTTTTGAAGCTTTTCTATCAAGGAAATTGGTTATGATTTTGATTCTTTGTAAGAGTCAGTTATACTCTAATTGAGTATAGAAAAATGGAGAATATTCTCACAGAAAATTAACTCAAGAATTAATTTTCTATTATGAGGGTCATATTTTCCACCTTCCATATCAAATATATCACCTTGTCTTGTTAAGTCTGCCGGTAGATAAATCTAGAAAACTTCCTATCTTTTCTTTTCTCTACCACCGTCTATTGAACCTCATTCCCCCATCTCCTCATTAGCAATATCAAAATGCTTGTAATTTCCGGAAAACACTAGAGAACTTTGTACCTCCATGCTATACCACCATGCCCTTAGTCTGAAACATTCTTTATTTGCTTTCTTGATAGATATTACTTATTTTACACGACGTACCTTTCCAAGTGTCAACCACTCTGTAAATCCATCTCCGAACTCTCCAGCTAGATTTAATCCCTAACCCACTGTGTTAATACCAAACTTTGTGGTTTTGTTATTATATTGCTGAGTGTGTATTGACTGGTTCTATTATAGGTGAACCTCCCCTTCTACTCTGTGATTTCATCGTGGGGAGAACCACTCAAATAATCTGTTTAATGAATCAGCATACCAACAATTGTATTATATTTAACATGTAACTGATAGACTATGGAGAAATACGTTGAAGACTGCAATTGCTGTATGATATAGGAGGCACATGCCCTTTAGTAATTTGAATTGGAAACAGTTAATGGCAAATAATAGGAAAGATAATGACTATTTCAAATGTATATATATGCTTCTTTGTTTTCAATGAATTTTGTCATATCCAATGCTAACATTTTAGACACTTCAAGGAGACAATATAATCTATTCCTTGAAAAGGAGTCATTAAATGTAGTTATATTTTATTCAGTCTACATAATGTTTAAGAATGTTATCCTAAAACAATCTCTGTTAATTTGATGGATTCATAAAGAAGAAAAACATCGGGCTTTCAAACTAATATCGCGCTAAGTAGAATATCATCAGTGTGGATTTCAAAGCCTTTAGAGAATGACACATGAATCAACTTGATAAATCTTTTGTACTATATTCTAAACTTTAAAGAATTATTTATGGATTTTCCAGGTGGTGACTGAGAAATGAATATTGAAATAGATCCACAGGAGGTGAATTCCATTTTTTCCCCCCTACAAATTCCAGTCAGTCCAGTGGCTTATATTTCTGGAATATCCTGCGGACCAGTATGGACTGAAGTAATTAGTGTCCGTCTAAACTTGAACTACTAATATGGCACGTTTATGCTCTAGATTTTCTGAACGTGTTTGCATCTCATCTGTTCTGTCTTTTGCCCCCATACATACAACAACCCTTCTTATACTATGAGTCCCAGTTCTAGATGAGACACTATGGTAATGGTCACGTTTGAGGATATTGTCATCGCTCCTGGGGGGAGGATGACTTGTACTAGTGGTTAATGTGATTTTCTGTTTGTTCCTTACGCGTCAAAGTATAGTCAGCGAGGAATCAAAGCTGAAGGTATTGTTTAAACTACAATATATACACTGTTTAAACTTTAAAGTTCAACATTAGGGGGGTAGGTGGAGAGGATCATGGTTTTAGTTTTGAAAATTAAATCAAATAAAAATGTAATGTTACATACAGCTCTTTTGGGGTCTACTATCAAAGTGATTCCAGATGTATCTCTAAGGCCCCTCCCCCACTTTTCTGATCCAAAAGCGGTATAGGTGGGTCCTGACCCCTTGACACAGCGCTTCCAACTTTGGCTCATTTCCACCATCAAACAAGTAAAGGTCAGCAAACCCTTCTTTGGAAAGTAAGACATTATTACCTGCCTCTAAAAGATCAGAAAAGAAGAATGTATACTGTTGGTTAAGAATTGTTTCTTTCCTCTCTATACTATTTTTAGTTAAAAAAGAAAAATTATTCCAAATCTCTATTCCACATTGACTTCCACGGTTTTGAAAAGGGAAGACAAAGGGAACCTGAAATCCGAGAGCACGTTTAAGTCAGTCTTCCAGAGGGGTAACGTCCGAGCTATTTCGTTTGAGAGAATAGACACCGTTCCTCCGGAGCCGAGTGTGGTGCTGAGAAAACTCGCCCAGTCAGGGGAGAACAGAACCCTCCTCAGGAGCTACAGGCGTGCACCGGCGTTTTCCATTGGAATACAGAGGGGCAATTCTATTTCCCTTTAGACGGATTTAGTATCTTTTAATTGGGAGCAGATTTGCTAGGGGATGAATATTCATAAAGCCGGGATGTTTTACTCACCTCTTTAGGGGCGTCAGCCTCAATGAATTCAGAATAAATCATCTTGGCTTTGGAAGCGATTTTCTCTGCACTTTCTGTTTTCTTGAAGTCTTCGCAGGCGAGCCAGAACTCAACATTTTCTTCACTAAACTCTGATTTTAGAAACGTTCGAAAAGCATCCAGACCAGCTATAAAATATATAAGAAAATGTGTGTATACCGTATAACTCAGTAACATGACCAGAATAAGTACCTTGCATAGTGGGAGCATTTATTGAGTAGTCAGTGGCAAATATTTATTATTCCTCTAAATATAACAATTATATGTTTTAGTTTTTAACTTTGAAAACTTTACTTGCATCAGTCATCATAAGCATAAAATATTGTATCTATAGTTCAACCAGTTCCAGTTAACAAAGAGAACCTGTAACTTTTTTTTCTTTAGGTCTGAGAAGTCCAGGAATTATGTTTAGGGAAATTTCTAATGTCATTTACTTCATAGAAAAATCACACGGACTTGACTTTATAGACCCATTACACTGAGCTCAGACCAAGTTAATGACATTCCTGATTTACAGTAAGAATACGTTGGTTATGAGTTGTTGAGAAAACACAATTTGATGCTGAGATGTTAGATTGTGTCGGTTTGGGCTTCTTCAAACAAAGGGGGAGGGGCTTGTCTTGGTTAGTTTCGGGTAAATATATTGGCCAACTCTAATCTCTAAATAAAAAAGTAACTGGCAAGATGTTTGGTGTCAACAGTGTAAATGTCATTAATATGGGAGCACTATAAAAAATCCAATTAACTGCATGCTTCCTGAATTAAAAAATACATCCAATGCTAATCAAAATAAGCCAATTAGAGAAAGACCAGTATCACGTGATCTCAGTTATTTGTGGAATATAATGAAAAAAATAAGTGGAGGAACAAAATAGATCCAGAGATGTGGAAATAGGAAACAGACTGAGGAACCTAAGAGGACAGGGGATGGGGGAGGGGAGAAGAGATAAACCCAAGGACTTATATACATCTATGCACAACCAATGGGCACAGACAACAGTTTCGTGAAGGTGGGGGCGGGTCAGCAAGAATGAGGAGGAGGTAGAGGGAGTCAAAGGGGAAAAAAGGAGAGACCTCTGTAATAAAAACTTAATTGATTAATTAATTAAAAATATATCCAAGAAGCTTCTGTGACCCAAATTTAGTTATAAAAAAATCCTCTCAGTAGTTTTGAATGAAAAATTTCTATGAGTTGGGTCCAAATAATGATGACTTTGTGGGCTGTAAACAGAATTTGTAATAAAAATATATGTTATATGGATGGTAAAGTATACTTTAATAATACTGAAAGAATATTGCAGGTTCATGATGGCCTATAAAGCTTTTTCCCCAGTGAGGATTATCGAAATGCATCCCGGAGAGATGGGAAGTCAGAGGTCAAGAAGCAAGTATTATTTTCTCCCATCCTGCGATTTCAATGAAGGACTATTCTGAAATAACAATTGTTATCACCTTAGGGCACAACGGAATAGAATAAACAACAAAAACTGTCTTGAACATACTATTAATGCAACGGTTTGTCTGTCCTATCCATACAATTTGAATGTGCAAAGTATGTCAAGTGTACTTGGAATAACATGTTACATACAATGAAAACCCGATGATCTGAACACACACTCTGCAGGATGGGATGGCTATTGGTTGGATCCAGAAGGGGCTGACACAAGAAAGAATGAGGTCATCTTAAGTAATCGTTGGCGAAACCCACTCGAATGCCCGTGCCCAGTGCACGCCAGGCTCATCCTCTCGTCAACAAAACAGATAATCTGGTGAGTCTTTGAATTGTCAACAGCATTAAAAGGCATGAAACTTGTTATCTGGTGCTATATAAACTACAAGAACCACACAGTTGTTCAGATGGATCTGTGACTTTCCCACGCTATGTGGGCATGAGATGTAGATCCCTGGAGATAAGCATCTAGCAGCATCTGTTCTCTAAGCCTCCAGGGCTCCGTTCAGTGGTACGGTCCCCACCCACTGGCAGAGAAGCTGTCTGCTCTGAGCTAACCTGGTCTGTCCCACTGGTTCTACATTTAAGGAAAAAAGAAAACAAATCACGCCATTCAAAACTTACAAATATGGAACTCTCTATTCTTACGGTGTTTCGTATCTGACTCTGGTGGAATTCTAGGACTAATGTGAATTATTTTATGCCTCTGCTTTGAGAGTTAGTTATTTCAGAGTGATAAAAATCAGAGTATAGTTTTATCTAATTCAGTGTAACTCTCTCTGTATGAATGAAGAGCCATAAAGAATTTATTCAGCCCTGGCCAGTTTGGCTCAGCGGTTGGAGCATTGACCTGTGGACCAGAGAGTCCCTGGTTTGGTTCCTGCTAGGAGCACGTACTAAAAAAAACAAACAAAGAATTTATTCAGCTTCCTTATGTGTTAAACTTTTAAATGTTCTGATAATTTACTTTGTAAATCTAACATGGAAATGCCATTTGAGTAGTTCAAACAATGCAACTTAAAAATTTTTTTTTATTTTTTTATTTTAGAGAGAGAGGAAGGGAGATGGAGAGAGATAGAAACATCAGTGAGAGAGAACATCGATTGGCCACCTCCTACATGCCCCTCACTGGGGATTTGACTCACAACCTGGGCATGTGCCCTGACTGGGAATCGAACTGGTGACCTCTTAGTGCATGGGTTGACGTTCAACCACTGAGCCACACCAGCCCAGCACAATGCCACATTTTAAACATTGTCTGAATATGTCTCTATAATGTCATTCCCTGCAAAGCAGACTGATTTATCTCAAGAAGTTCCTGCATCCTTTGTCAGTGACTAGTTCACTGACAAAGGATGCAGGAACTTCTTGAGATCCATCTGAGATATCTTATTTATAATTGGCCTAAATTACCTTATTGAGACATCATATCTAATATAAATACATACCAACACATGAGCATATTGATATACACATATACATTTAAATGTGGTTTTGTATTTACTAAAAATGAGAACAGCTCAGTTGAAAGAAATACTTTATAAACTTATTTTGGCCTACATAACATGAAAAACAAGTGATTTATCTAAATTCGCAAATTTTCAGTAGTTTGTATGTTTCTTTCTACTTGTAACAAAAGTAGTCATTATACAGATCAAATGATAATGAGTTTAAGAAAATGGAAAATTTCTCGCTTGCTTTTTTTTTAATGTTTGGAGTTTCTATAACCTTGTTGTATTTTTGACCCAACCTAATTCCATTTAGACTTTGGGCCTGTTGTAAGTTTGTGTGACTGGAGAGAATCTTATGCTTTGAATATTGATCAAAGTCATACTATGTAATATGTCTATCACTTTCAGGATTTAACACTATACTTTTTAAAAAATCTTTATTGTTGCAAGTATTACAGATGTCTCTCCCTTTTTTCCTCATTGACCCCTTCGTCCCCACGCCCACCCCCAAAAATTTGCTTTTAAGTGTTGCGTTTTGAGACCTGTTCTTAGTTGGTTCTTACCTTGGTCTGTTAAGAGAGTGTCCATGTTCTCGGACCACACCACTGCTTCTGTTGTTGGTGACCTGTAGAAACAACATCTACCCTTGACAATAGCATTGTGATCTTTTTCTTTTATAACCTATAGTAATAGTTGAGTTGCGTGTATTTGTTGAGTCACATTCTTTAAATGAGCTTTGCACCATTGATTGACCATAATTATACATGATAAGCAAAAGTAGGTTTACAGTTGTGAGTATGCAAAACACAAGTTTATTCTTATGTTATTACTTATTATTGTATTGTTTTCCATACAAACAACTGTAACCTACTTTTATCCCACCAATACAATATTTTTTCCACAGTGGACAACAATCCTTTTTTTTTAAATTTTATTTTTGTTACTGATGTTTCTCCTTTTTTACCGCATTGACACCCTCCTCCCCATCCCCCCACCCCATCCCCCGCTTTTTTGTCCATGTCCATTGGTTATGCGTACATGCATATAAGTTCTGTGGTTTATCTCTTCCCTCCCCCCCACCACCCCCTCTTCTGAGGGTAACAGTGGACAAAATTCAACACACAGTAGGATGTACCTTGACATCAGCAAGTTATCTATTAATCTAGCTGGGAGTGTTACTAATATTTGAAAATGTTTGAATTATAATAAAGGAATGAGAGAGATATTGCTCATGGTTTTATGAAATACCAAATTTCTACTATAAACATATTAATTGCTAATTTATGGAGCATTTTCTAGTCTATTTCTGAAAAGTTATCATGATAGCAGCAGTAATGAATGAATATTTTCCAAGTTTTCATAATATATAAAAGTATCCATTTCATAATTATGCATCTCAAAAAGGTTTTTTTAGTTTTTATTTTTCACATAGATTGGGAGGGAAGAAGAGAGAGGGAGAGAAACATTGATGTGAGAGAGACACATTGAGTGATTGCCTCCTGCACGACCCCTACTGGGATCGGGGATGAACTGCAACCGAGGTACGTGCCCTTGACTGGAATTGAACCCATGACTCTTTGATCTGCAGGCTGTCTCTCTAGCCACTGAGCCAAAGTGGCCAGGGCTCAAAAATGTTTACGAAAAATTTTTATTAAGGATTTCTAATATCTCATGATCTTGAAAATGTGTATCTATATATTTTTGGGAAGTCTTTACCCCTACTCTGAGACAGCCTTTATTTTTACTTACATTGGTCGACTTCTAGTTCTGGCTGATTTATTTAAATCCAGGACTCTGTCAGGACAAAGTAATGTCTACTGCAAAGCAGTCAGAAAATGTACAGACTTAAGTGTTCTGAAGAAGGTATAGTTTTGGGGATGTGATGTAGAAATAATAAATCAGGTTTAAGAGATAAAATTTTGAGATACAAATATATCATGAATTATTCTTAATAAACAAAGGCCCTGATGAAATAAGCCTCATTCATGGAAAGCATTTGCTAGCCCCCATATATATATGTATGTATATGTATATATGTATATGTATATATATGTATATATATGATTATGTAGCTGTGATGTGCAAATGAGTTAGTTATGGACAGAGATGGTCTAATAATAGAAGGTTTCTATTAAAATGATTGATAATAAAATAGTCTTATATCTAGTCATTCTTACAAAATTTCACATTTGCATATCAAGGTGACTAATCTTAACTATGCTATTGTGGAGCATCTCTAGGTTTTTGTAGTCTCTTCTTTCCTGTAATTTGCTGTGGTTTTATTATTTGTGTTAGTATTGATTGTGTTCCCTTCTGCTGTAGTGGTCATCACTGGATTTTCAGACGATAATGGCTGTTCTCATAGAAGACAGGCCAAGGGGACGGAGAGGCAGGGATTCATGCTCCTGTCTTCCACTGCTTACATTCCCATCCCAAATGTTCTTCCCCGGTGGTGGGAAGCTGAGTTTCCTTTCTCCTTTGATTGACTAAGCTTTGGGACACGTGCTTTCCTGTGAAACCATTTTGAAATGGTGCTTTTTCATTCAAATGGGCATTTGACATCATTCGGGTTGTTCGGTTATCATCTTGCAGAAATGGAGAATGGGACCCAGGTCTAGACTTAACTTTGCACCAAAGAGTGTTTTTGCAGCACAAAACCTGTGACTCTAATGGGCTTATGTTGTGACTCCTCTGACTCAGGTGGTAGGTCATGCAGGAATTCTTTCTAAAAGTGTTGAATCATCATACAGTCCCTTAAAATACGTGTGCTTCAAAATCTCACCTCTATCTGTAGATTGACATGGGGTGGTGAGCAGGGTATTCGAATTAAAAGCTCTGGTGGGATACATGTTCGTGAATAGGGCAAAGAGACATTTTCATGTCAAGCCTGGCCACACAGGACGCCAGTTTTGAATGAGGAGCTTCCCACCAAGAAAAACACTGAGAAATAGCCTCTAGGCAACATCATCCAAGAATAAATGTATACCCTGCCATTAGTATGTATGTGTCTTGTCTAAGAAATATGTGTTAAACATATAACAGCGAATGAAGGAGTGATCAACCCGAAATGGTGGCGAGTCTGGAAGTCTTTAGTGAATGGAGTGCAATGGCTTGCAAGATGCTGGTAGAAAATGGTGAGAGGAAGGTTATTGAAAGGTATCACTGAATTATATTAGCCTCACAGTGTGTTCCGGGCAAGGGAAGAGGAGAAATGAAGTGAAAACATCACTCGGGGGCAACAGACCACAGACCTCACTCTCTTCCACCCTGAGGCGTGTGAAATTGGAGGAAATGGATAACATCCATTCTGGAAGGCATGGAGGCTAGTCACGTCCTTCAGGGAGAGACAGGTTTTCTTAAGCCAGAAGCAAAAGAAATATTCAGCCAGGAGCTTATTGGATGTTAAGGCATCTTTTTGGAATAGAAGTATTAAAATAAATGGTTGCTCTTTTTATTATCTTCATGAATGCAGGAAAATAATAAGGACAGAAGGAAGCAAAGTCTGAGAGAGGGTGTAGAACCAAGGTAAAATCCTTATGTTTTGAATTAGGAAGCTATACTAAAATGTGAGATCGTCCAGAGCTATAGAATATTAGAGATGACAGAATTTGAGCACTAGACTGTTGTAGAGTTATTTAAGGTCCACCAAATGATGACATTGTTATAAAGGGAAAAGTTACCCTCCACCTCTGAGTAGACACCCCTGCTGGAGTGTGATAATGCCTGGGTTGTTCTGATTTACTGTTTTCTAACCAATTTCAAGTTTGACTTGAAAGGTTCAGTTTTAACTACCTACATTGAAAGGGTTGGTGGTAGTGCAGTATTTGTTTTTCAGAAGTTAGGCACAATGCAACTATTTTAAGGAATAATGCCAGTTGGGTGTTTAATTTCGGGGCTGATTATATATTTAAAATTATGTGGAAGAGTAAATTATTGTATGTAGGTCTAAGTTACCAGACAATATGTATTATAGCACTAAAATGCATAACTGTATATTGAGTGTTTACAGTTTGTACCACACGGAGCTAAGTATGTCGTCTAGTTTACGTCATTTAACCTTGAAATGATAGAGTCTGTTTGAATCCCATGTTACTCTTGAATGAAGACATTCAGGGATGTGAATCACTGGTACAGTATCTCACATCTATTAATGGGCAGTTAGACTCAAACACAGGTGTATCTGTCTGCAACCCAAACACTTTTTACAATTCTTCCTAGATTGAATGTATCAATACTCAGTTGCTCGGTGCTTGTTTGGGAACATTAATAATAAATACTTTGAGAATGCTTTTTCTGTGATAGAGTTTTATTGTACTGCATACATAAATTTCCTCTGAGTAATAGTTAATTCACAGTAATTGGCCACTCAATAGAAAATGTTCAGAGACAGAGATTCGTAAGTCTGGTAAATTACCAGATGAAAATAGGGTACGTCTTAAGTCAGCTGGGAGTGAGAACTATCTTCCATGTTTTGAAAAATTCAACTATAGAAAATGAATCTGTTGAATTAAAATTGGGGCCCTGGCCGGTTTGGCTCAGCGGTTAGAGCGTCGGCCTTCGGTCCAGAGAGACCCGGGTTTGGTTCCCGCTAAGGGCACGTACCTATGTTGCAGTTTGTCCCCGGCCCTGGTTGGTCGTCTGGGTGGCAGCCACTCGATGTGTCCCTTTCACGTCGATGTTTCTCTCTCTCTCTTCGTCTCTCTCCCTCCCACTCTATCTGAACAAAAATGGAAAAATGTCCTTGGGAGAGGATTAAAAAAAATTGGGGGGAAAGAGAGTAACTGGATCTAACAGTGTCCTGACTTGGTTACATCTTACTGGGCATGTTACTTTCAGGGGACCATGTCATTTCTCTCTCTCTCTCTCTCTCTCTCTCTCTCTCTCTCTCTCTTTTTCTTTTATTTGAATTTTAGTTGGAACTTTAACAGAGCTTTTGTCTGGATCTTCTCATTGTGTATTTCCTGTATGATTGCAATGTACAACCAGAGTAACTGTGTGTGTGTGTGTGTGTGTGTGTGTGTGTGTGTGTGTGTGTGAGCTTTGCTGTGCAAATTCACCATGTAGCTGGACCCAAAACCGCACTGCGAATTTCATGGGGTTTTGGCTGGCTGCCCTTCTGTTTCCTCATTAAGTGAGTGCCTCCCGGGCCAGCAGTCCCCATATTCTGAGCCCAGAGCAGAGCCAGGCCAGATGGGAACTGTGGGGGCCCCCGCGTAGGTCGCTCATCGCGCCCCTGGGCTCAGTCGCCTGGCCTCAAACGCCGTGCAATGCCGCAAAAGGGGGCTCAGTGGTCCCCACCCCTGCAACCTTTGTGCACCTGAGCAGGCATCAACCCTGACTGCTGAAGCCGTGTTTCAGACACGGAGGAGACACCCCGAGAGAAGGGAGGGAAAAAACCAGGAAGAAAGACAACAGTGAGCGTGTATCTGTCATAAAGGAAGGACACAAAACATGCAGACAGAGGAGGATACAAGTGTTTCATTTGTACATCTTCCGAGATAAAAATAGCCTTAAAGGGCAACTCACTTCACCGGCATCTTTGGTCCCTCTGTCTGAGTGTCACCGGGATGCGAGTTGCTCTCTGACTGATCCGGAACCTGAAGGCAGTAGGACAGCGGGGACAGCACAGTTAGTATGCACACACCTGTCCCCCGGCTGACAAACCGGCATGCTTTCAATCATGCTGTTCTCAGCTGTTTTTTTTCTTTTCTTTTCTTTTCTTTTCTTTTCTTTTCATTTTGTTGTTAATTTTTCTCTGGTCAAAATACTGACATGTCTAAGTAACAAATAACTGTTTGAGTCCAGGTGACATCTCTCCCAGCCTGTGGCATCCAGGGAATAAATTCCATTGGAAAGTTTGGTTTCTAAATCTCAGATCCATCCATTTGCAAAACGACTATTGTTGGCATGAGGTTAAATCAACTCAGAAAAATGCATATACAAAATTTAATATTTGCCCAGTCGGTGTGGCTCAGTGGTTGAGCGTCGACCCTGTACCAAGAGGTCGCTGGTTTGATTCCGGTCAGGGCACCTGCCCAGGTTGTGGGCCAAATCCTCAGTGGGGGGCATGCAGGAGGCGGCCAATCGATGTTCCCTCTCATCAATGTTTCTATCTCTCTCTCCCTCCTTCTCTTTCTAAAATCAGTAAAGGAAAAAAAAATTTTTTAATTTAATATTCACCTTCAGGTTTTTAACCTGTCAAAAGTTTGTTTTTCTTTGGTCTTTGATTTTCAAAAAGTCTGAGGAAGATTCTGCTTTTAATAATCTTAAACAACGGTTGATGTCTAAATATTTTTCCAGCTTTATTCATGGACAAAAATGTCCTAGCACAAGGCATTATGCTTTTTTGGAAATATCGGTGCTTTTCAGAGCTTAATAAGTGTATAGCTTTCTATTTCTTTTAACCATGAATCTCATGGCATTTTCTGCCAGTATTTCTTTCGGAAACACGGATGATTAAGGTAATAATGCTTGGATATGATTATGAAAACCAAGGCCATGTATAGGGATTTTTATTTGTGGTCCAAGTTGTATACCTACCACCCAATGCTTCATCAAGCTTTTACCTCAGCATAACAGATTTCTTTGGGAGTAAAATTCTACTTGTGTATATTGATGCCCCTCAGTGTAAATCAAACTCCTCTGAAAGGTGGATGGTTTTCTGGTGGAAGGAAGAACAGCACCAGGAGACAGCAGGAATCTGCTCTCCCCTGACTGAGTAGGGACAGGGTGCTTCCCCACTTAGCGGATCTACAGAGATGCCACAGGCGCTGGTCTGCAAGGGCCGGGCTGCCGAGACTGATGGGAGCAGCAGAGATGACCTAAAAAGTCAGTGTATCATTAAGAAAGGAAACCATCAATTAGCGCAATCCATTTTGTTAATTCAAGCACCATTAAGTAACATTCTTATGACACCCAAGAACCGAATCATTAAATTGATTTAGACTTTGTTTTGCTGAGAGGGGATAATGAAGTACTAACTTTACACCACATGCATGAACTTGGTGGAAAAATAAGCTGTTAAAATGTAAAGACCCCCTTGATAAAAAAAAAACAAAAAAACCAGAAACAAAAACAGAAAACAATGCTGAGTCTGTGAGAACACGAGCCAGGAGTAGGCTTATTTTACATAAACGCTTTAAAACAAAAATGGAAATGTCTGTTGTGAGTTGAGTGCCGTTCCCAGCATGCTCTTTCCCCAATCCTGCACAGCGCATGATGGATGGCTGGTCATTCACGGTGCAGGTCCCCTTCCGTACCTGCTTCTTTCGATTTTTCAGGGAAAGCTAAGAATTGGCTTCAGTGAATGAAAATGAAGGTTCCTAACAAGTGAACAGTGAGTAAATAAACTGTCTTCTTAGGCTGAAAGGCTCTTTATTATGTGCAGTAGCTCTTGCCAAAAGATTGCCGTGTGTAAGTATTGTGGATAGCGCCAATTCTTACTCTTGGGGGATCTAGTACCCACTATCAGGGCTAGTGTGATGGGCTAGGTCATGGCCAGGGTATCAACCATAGTGCTACTCATATGTCTGTTTTACTCCCTTTCTCCTTATCCGACATGCACCGAACCATGGTTAAGATGTAGGGCGGGACTCTATGGACAATACTGCTACACATCATGCAATCAATGGGGGACTTCTCTGTAAGAATAAGACATTTATTCTACAATTGTTTCCAAATATATTTTATTGATTTTTTTTAAGAGAGAGAGGGAGAGAGAAATAGAAACATCAATGTGAGAGAGAAACATCCATCAGCTGTCTCCTGCCTGCCCCCTAGTGGGGATCGAGCCTGCAACCTGGGCATGTGCCCTGACTGGGAATCAAACCAGGACCTCCCAGTCCATGGGACGATGCTCAATCCACTGAGCCCCATTGGCTGGGCTACTCTACAGTTTTTTCCGAGTGTTTGCAGTATGTAAGAAATTGTGATCAGTGGTATAGGAATACAAAAGTTTAATCAGGTAGTCTGAAGTCGGTAATGTTGGAGAATGAACACAATGTGGTTGTGTGTGGAGTGAACCGGAAGAATGTGGGAACAAAGGTAAAGTCGAGAGAGTTAACAGGACAGTGTGGTGGTCCGGGCAGGAGATGACAAGGGTTTGGACAAGGGTAGTGGCAGGGGATGGAAAAGCCCACACCAGTTGTCACATGACTAAGAGAGGTTAAAGAGAACGAGGAGAGGAAAATACAGTGGAATTGGAAGATGGTCTCAGGGAACATGAACAGGACCAACCAGAAGGAGAGTAGACGAGAAGAACACTTCACTGCAACGCTGCATGACTATTAGTCCATATTATGTTCTTAGTCAAACAATAAGGGAACAGGAAGCATGATGACTATTATTGTTATTACTTTTACAATTGTCTTTCTAAATTTATATAATAGGCTTATAAAAACAGTTATTTGGGGACTAAATAATGTAAATTCTGTCTCTTTTTATAAACAGAAGAGCTGAGGAAATACAATTTCTCAATTCTGCTTTGCCTCAAGTTATGAGACGTAATTTATAAAGCAATGAGGCTGAGTTTTGTATGGTTCATCAATTATTTCTGAACGCAGCCTAAAAGAGAAGTTTGAAATGTTTTGAGCAACGGCAGGACCACTGAAATGTGTCTAATCTCCCAAAGTGGCTGCTTAGAAAAATAATGCTCATTTTGCTGTTTAGATCTGGGTATGCTGGTTGACAAATCTGTCACATTACTTGCTAGTCACATCTTTGGATTGAAGTCCCAAGTGCACTTCCTTTGTGTTATTTTAGAATACCACGTCACCGAGAGTCAAAGAAACATCTGCTTCAAGAACGTAAAATATTTCCAAGTTTAACAAGCTTTCTGATGCAAACAAAAATTTTTTATGTTTTAAACATTAAATATTATTCTGCATTTGATGCATTCATATACCTGAATTAATTAGAATTAAACATGAATAGTGTGATAGAAATCAGTAAAGCTAGATATAGCATCCAGATCAAAACATCAGTGTCTCTCTTTTTTTGGTAAAGAATATATATTTTTTCTTTAGGTGTTCACCATCTATGTCTTTTTTTTTTTTCCTTTTTTTTTTTTTAAAAAAAATCTTTATTGTTGAATATATTATAGATGTTCCTCATTTTCCCCCCATTGATCCCCTCCTCCTCACTCCTGCCCCTCTCCCACCTTTTCCCACACTGTTGTCTCTGTCCATTGGTTATGCATATAAGTTCTTTGGTTTATTTCTTCCCACCCCCCAACCCCTTTCCCTTTGAGGTTTGTCAGTCTAGCAATGAATTTGTACTGCTTAATCCCTTCACCTTTTTCACCCATTCCCCCAACCCCCTCCCATCTGGCAACCAACAAAATGTTCTCTGTATCTATGAGAATGTTTCTGTTCTGCCTGTTCATTTTGTTTGTAGATTCCATTGTCGATAGATATGTATTCATTGCCATTTTGTTTGTTCATATATTTTATCTTTTTCTTCAAAAAGACCCTTCATCATTTCATATAATAACGGTTTGGTGGTGATGAATGAACTCCTTTAACTTTTCCTTGTCTGGGAAACTCTTTATATGGCCATCGATTCTAAATGACAGCTTTGCAGTATAGAGTAATGTTGGTTGTAGGTTCTTGCTTTTCATCACTCTGAATATTTCTTGCCACTCCCTTCTGGCCTGCAAAGTTTCTTTTGAGAAATCAGCTGACAGCCTTTTGGGAACTCCCTTGTAGGTAACTAGCTGCCTTTCTCTTGCTGCTTTTAAGATTCTCTCTTTGTCTTGAACCTTTTGCATTTTGATGGTAGTGTCTTGGGGTGGGCCTCTTGGGGTTTATCTTGTTTGGGACTCTCTGTGCTTCCTGGACTTGTATGTCTGTTTCCTTCACCAAGTTAGGAAAGTTTTCTGCCATTATTGTTTCAAACAGGTTTTCAATTTCTTGTTCTCTCTCTTCTCCTTCTGGCACCCCTATTTGGCATGCTTGAAGTTGTCCCAGAGGCTCCTTACACTTTCCTCATTTTTTTGGATTCTTTTTTCTTTTTGCTGTTCTGATTGGGCGTTTTTTGCTTCCTTATATTGCAAATCAATAGTTTGCTTCTTGGATTTACATACTCTACTATTGAATCTGTGTAAATTATTCTTTATTTCAGTTAATGCCTCCTTCATTTCTGACTGTGCATCCATCATTTTTGACTGCTCCTTTTTTATGCTCTTGAGGCCACTAAGTTCATTGAGCATCTTTATAAGCCGTGTTTTGAACTCAGCATCTGTTAGGTTGCTTATCTCCATTTCGCTTAGTTCTTTTCTGGGGGTTTTGTTCTGTTCTCTCATTTGGGACCTGTTTCTTTGTCTCCTCATTTTGGCTGCCTCCCTGTGTTTGTTTCCGTGTATGGTAAAGAATATTTGACTTCATGTTATAATCTCACAGTCTTTGTAATATGTGTTATTAACTGATTTCTTATAGTTTTCTGTACTGTAGCTGAGTATTTTAATAACATAGAGACCAATAACCATTTAATTGACTTTTCTCCCCCATGTTTCAAATTTCTGTGTTTCCATCTTGTACAC